GAACGCTGCTCCACAGCTCATAGTAGTGGAGATCGACTGAAGGTAAATGGGACGCTTTTCTCCTTTTGATGAAATTTATTTCTGAGGGCATTATGTTAGCAGTACACAAACAGAGTATACTTAATTTAAAAAATGTGTCCTTATCTTCAGGTTATAGACTGCATTGCTGTGGTTTAAAGAGAGATACATGCTTTTTGGTTATGATTACTGTTTAAAGAAAATAAATTTTGAACCATAAGAAAGTTCGTAGTTTATAGAAGAAAGTATTCATAAGAATATGAGGGGAAGAAATATGTTTTATGAAATAAATTTTTTGCTGGGAAGTTATTTCAGGTAAAAAATAATTTTTTTAAATCTTACATACAGGAAGGTGTGAGTATTAACAAGTCATTGCTAACTTTGGGAAAAGTTATATCTGCACTCTCTGAACAAGCAAACCAAAAGAGGGTTTTTATTCCTTATCGTGAATCTGTTCTAACATGGTAAGTATCCTTTAAAGTTTAAAGAATTGTATAAAATACAGTGAAAATTGTGGGGAAAAGAATGATAGATTGACTTCATAGAACTTTGGGAAAAAGAAGTGATTAGCAAGCAGTATGAATTCTAGAGCTAAACTACCTGGATTTGCATCTCCACTCTGCATCTTAAAAACCCTGAGACTCTGGGCAAATCACTTCGTATCCTACTCTGCTTCCTCATCTGTAAAATAGGGATAACATTATCTATCTTTAGAGTTACAATGAAGATGAAATTATTAATGTAATACTTTTAATATGTAGTATGTATTATATGACTATAACAACCATTCTTAACTATTATTTGTGCCTGATGTTTGAACATATATATACAGCAATATGTTTGATAATACATATAAAGTGAAATTGAATAATTTTATTTGCTTAGGACACAGTGGCCAGTAGTGGTCAGTGTTTTCATTAGTGAATATATATTGAATTTCCAATACATTTAGTTCAAACAACATCTAAATAGATTTAACATTCAGTTTTGGTAGTACTAACATACAGCTATGATAAAGACTGAATCTCTACTTATCAGTTATTTATCCTTATAATTGGTTTATTACAATGTGGTTGCCCTCTTGATACTTATAAGAGAAAAATCTGGTTTTTTAATGTCCTTTGAAGGTTAAGAATAGTGAAATTCATTCTGGACTAATAAAAGATATGTTTTAAGTCTTATACCATTTTCTTCCTCTAAAATAAAGATTTTACTTGTATTGTAATACAGAATTTTTGTTTACATGTCCATTCATCATTTCCAACATTTTTTGAGCTAAGCACTTACTTCAAGAGATTGTGGTTGCACTGGAAATACAGAGATGACCAAGACACATAATTTCTTCCCTAAAGTAGCTCACAGTCTTATAAGGAGAGAGAGATCTTATTAAATATTTGGTGGTTAACCTTATTTTGAAACCTCAGTATGTGGCAGGTGAGGCAGTTTGCGCCTGTAATCCTAACGCTGGGGGTGGGGGTGGGGCTGAAGTGGGAGGACTCCTCAAGCTCAGATGTTTGAGAACTTGTTTCTTTTAAAATTAGAAAAAAATTAGGCATCATGGCACATTTGAAGTCTGAGGTAGGAGGATTGCTTTAGTGTGGGAGTTTTAGGTTATAGCGATCTGTGATGAGGGCACTATACTGCCTGGGGTAACAGAATGAGACTCTCAAAGGAAACTAAACAACCCTCCACGAAACCCTCTATACAGATTATTGCTCCATGACACACTGTAACAAGTATGAGAGAAAATTGGGTACAGTAACTCAGACTCAGCACTTTGTGAGACCCAGGCAGGATGATTGCTTGAGGCCAGGAGTTGGAGATCAGCTGAGCAAGACCCCATTGCTACAAAAAATGAAAAATAGGCCACGTGTAGTGGCACATGCCTGTAATCCTGGCTACTTAGGAGGCTGAAGTGGGAGGTTGGTTTGAGCCCAGGCATTCAAGGTTACAGTGAGGTAAAGTGAGCTGTGATCCCACTATTGTATTCTAGCCTGGGAGACAGAGTAAGACCCTGTGTGTGGAAAAAAAAACAAAAAAACAAACTATATATATATATATATATATATATATGTATATAAAATGTTTATGGGATCTAAAAATAGCCACAAATACCAAAAACAGTTTTAAATGGTATTTGAGTCATTGAGTATAATACTATATTTTCTAATCTTGTTGGTTTGTTTTGTTCTAAGTAATTACTGTTATTTGGTTGTTGTAGAAGCAAAGTCTAATTATGACTTTTTTTCCTTGAAGGCTGTTAAAAGAAAGTCTGGGTGGAAATTCAAAAACTGCAATGATTGCTACAATTAGTCCTGCCGCCAGCAACATAGAAGAAACATTGAGCACACTCAGATACGCTAGCCAAGCCCGTTTGATAGTCAATGTCGCCAAAGTAAATGAAGATACGAGTGCTAAGTTAATTAGAGGTGAATATTTTTCCTAGAATTTAAAATTTATTTTGTCACAGTAGATTTAAATATTAATTCCAGTCTTAAAATATGATTTTTAAGGAAATCAAAGATTTTTTTTCCTCAAACCTATTTTTAATAGATTCTAGTCATCCTACAGTGATGGAAGAAGGTAGGTAGGACAGTGGGAAAGAGAACAAGTAATAAGGGAGAAAAAGAGCAAGCACAGTGTTGGTGAAGGGAAACAGCAAGCGTAAAGACTTGCGGACTGAGTCATAGAAGTGTGCAGCAAAACACCAATACAATTATTTATTACTTGTCTCTTAAGGCCTTTCCTCCATTGTCATTTTATTTATTTAGTTCTACTCTTACTTAGTTTGTTGATTCAAAAGCTGTTTGAGCTTGAGTTTTTATTTAGCATAGGCCTAACTTGATTTATGCTAAATACAGCTTTCTACTTACCTCTCGGTAGTCATCCATTTAGGATAGACTTTGGTATCTGCAAGGAATCTTGATATGTAAGAATTTATCTTTAACAATATGGGACTGTCTTGTCTTCACACCCTTCTGGCCCCCCCCCCTTTTTTTTTAGAAGCAGAAGGTGATAGACACTTTTGAGGTATGAGAGCAGAATCTGTTTTCTCTGTCTTGGTCCAGCCTTTTCCTTTTGTATCCCCTCTATGTTACAGATGAGACTGTTTTCTTTAAAAACAAGTATTCTGAATTCTAGCTTGAAAATTTTGATCATTAACCTACATGTCTATATGAGTGAGATTTTTTTTTTTTTTTGAGACAGAGTCTCAAGCTGTTGCCCTGGGTAGAGTGCCATGGCTCACAGCAACCTCAGATTCTTGGGTTTAAGCCATTCTCTTGCCTTAGCCTCCCAAGTTGCTGGGACTATAGGCGCCCCCCACAACACCCAGCTATTTTTTTGTTGTTGTTGTAGTTGTCGTTGTTTTAGTTGACCCAGGCTGGGTTCGAACCCGCCAGCCTTGGTATATGCGGCTAGTGCCTTACCCACTGAGCTGTGGGAGCTGCCACGTATGAGTGAGATTCACCTATAACAATCCCAGTTTATATCTGTTTTCATGAAGTAATTTAATCTCTCAAAACTATTCTACTGTGGACAATACGTTGTGGGGCCATTCTACTTCAGAGGGGGGAATGATCATTAATATGGGAGTACTTTTTCAAGTTAAGGCATTTAGACCTTAACCTGAAAAAAACATATAAGTAAAAAAAAATCTATAAGTAAAGTAAATCTAATGTCGCTAACTGTTCTATTTAGTAATGCTATATTTAAAACTTCAAATGAAATAAAAGATTGGAGGATTTATGGTAATTATATGGGATTTTTTTTGTGGGAATTATTATATGTTAAAAATGCTATTAATCATGTATATTTTTGTACATTTTCAGAATTGAAAGCAGAAATCGAAAAGCTAAAAGCTGCTCAGCGAAATAGTCGGAATATTGACCCTGAACGATATAGGCTCAGTCAGCAAGAAATAACATCTCTAAGAATGAAGCTACATCAGCAAGAGAGAGACATGGCAGAAATGCAGAGGTGGAATGTGGTTAATATTTTAAATATTAAATGTGTTGCTGTGGAATCATAGAGCTAGTAGGGGTTATAAGAGAATAGTAAGTCTGTCTTTTCCCCTAACTGTCATATGAATTGAGCAACCCAATTCCAGATTAATTCATATTTTAATATTACAATGTAGTTCCCTAATCTCGTTGATTGTCTCTTGATTCTCATTCTTATATATCTGGATGTTTTTAATTCTATTATTTGTCTTTGGGTAGAGCTTGGAAAGAAAAGTTTGAACAAGCTGAAAAAAGAAAACTTCAAGAAACAAAGGAGTTACAGGTATCATTTCAACTTTCTAAACTGATTTGAAAATAAAAGAAACATGCCAATAAATAAATTCTGCTAGTATGCCAGTTATATAAATTTTACTTTTTTCAATACTATTAACTCTATAGAAATCAATTCCATATAGAGAATTAATACAAAGAAATGTTAAGATCAAGATTATGATCACATAGAGCCCATAAACCAGTTGGAAAGTTAAAATATAAACAAACTATCTTGTTATATTCACTTTGATTCCACAAATATTTATTAAATGTTTATGTTGTGCCAGAAACAGGGAAGGCCAAAGAGATTAAATACAATTTCATCCGTTACAGATTTTGAGATCCAGAGGGAGGTTTACAAATTCAGTAAGTAAAAGACTGAAATGCAGTGCGATTTGATTAGTTTGAATCATATGAAACTACCAGTTTTTTAGGTAAAGAAATGTTGAACACTGGCAGTTTCATGTGGTTTAACATAATGCAATGAAAAGTATGAAAAGGTAGAGAAGTAGGAGAGAGGAGGAAATAATTAACCTTGAGGAAACTTGTCATCAAGGAAGGCATTAAAGAGGAAGACAACTAAGTGGAGTTTTATACAACAAACAGGAATTTGCTAGGCTAACAAAGGCAGAATTTGCTAAGCAGAGAAATACGAAATGCCAAGGCACAACACAGTTGGGATGTCTAAAGAATTAAGTTTTGTATGGTTGGAAATTAAAGTTGGTGACAGAGATTAGACCAGAGAGAAATGCAAGATTCATGTTGTAACATAGTGAGGAACTTGAACTTAGGTGATTGGAAGCCTCTGAAGGTTTTTAATGGAAGAGGAGTGACATAACAGACTTCTGGGTTTTTAAAATTTTTATTTTATTTAATTTATTTTGAGATGGAGTCTCATTCTGTTGCCTAAGGTAGAGTGCCATGGTGTCATAGCTTACAATAACCTCAAACTCCAGGCTAAAGAGATCCTCTTGCCTCAGCCTCACAATTAGCTTGGACTACAGGCATGCTTCACAATGCCCAACTAATGTTTCTGTTTTTTTGGTAGAGAAGGGAGTCTCACTCTTGCTTAGGCTGGTCTTAACCTCCTGAGCTCAAGCGAACCAACTGCCTCTGCCTACCAGAGTGTGAAAATTACAGGCTTGAGCCACTGCACCAGGCCTAGACTTCTGTTTTGAATAGAATCTTCTGCTAATAGTTTGAGAGAGGGATTTGAGAAAGGAAAGATACTCATTTAAAAAGCTATTGCTGTGGTTAAGAGTTGATGAGAGCTTGGAGTATGGCAGTGATGATAGAAATTAATAGTGGAGGAGTTGGATTTAAGAAATAGAAAGGAAGCTCAGTGCCTATGGCTCAAGTAGCTAAGGCACCAGCTACATACACTTGAGCTGGCGGGTTCGAATCCAGCCCAGGCCTGCCAAACAACAATGATAGCTGCAACCAAAAAAAAAAAAAA